ATAAGAGGAAATTTGATATAAATTGCAAATGGTGACTACGAAAGGAGGTTTAGAAACTCTGTTATTAAATATAACCCATTTTTATTTAGAACATGTTATAAAGAGGTAATGTTACTGGATGATATTGGGAAGAACTAATGGAATGCCATTATGTGGTTTTGCTTTAAATCTGGAATACTTTATATAAAAGGACATAAAAACAATTATAGTCAAATGAAGGTTGAGGTATGATAATTATATATATTAATATATACAATTCATATTAAATCATATATGATTTAAAATATATGATTTAATATGAATTGTAGGTAATTACTGTGGAAGGGATGCACAGACATTTTTGTAACCAATCGACACACTGTCCACAATTTGTAATGGAAGATGATTTTGTGATTTTGTGTGTGTGTTTTGTCTGTTTGTGTTTATTCAAATATATATTTATATATATATATTAAAAAAACCCATTCTGAGACACATAATGCATCTATTTCCTTTTATTTCATCCATAAAGTCATACTCTTCAACATTTACTTCCTTCATATTCAAATCTGTCAATCTGCCATGGTTGTATTGTTGTTTTAAAAACCAATAATTTCATTATTAATGCAGTACATTACTCACCCATCTTCCAAAGTATAAGCCAATAGGCTGTTCTGTACTGTTGCCGAGATAAATTCCATGATCTTCTAGAAACCAAAATGTATGATCTGGATTATTTAAATCTACACGTCCTTTAAATGGTAAAAACTGCAGAGACTACATGGTGTGAGGAGGTTGGGGAGAGGGGGGAGAGAGGAATTAGAAACAATGCATTAATCAACAATATTATATGTGTAATATTGTTTATCCCTATATACAGTATCCTCCTTACTTTTATTATAATAGGTATACCTCAAATAATTGAAAGCAACTACTGCCAAAACATAAAATGTGTATTATTCATAAGCTGAAATATTATTTTTAAAGTTAATAAAGTAGCATGAAATAAAAAATATAGCACTGGTGATCTATTAAAACCAAATGTCAGTTGTATTATGTATTCCTGATGGAAGATACACTGTTTAAAAATTGGATGTTTTTTTCATCCTTTAAGGGTCATCAAGCATATAGTTGCTTTAGCCTTAAGCTGCATGTGTTTTTTAAAATCAAAAGTGTAGAGCAGTGATGGCAAACCTTTTCGGCACCAAGTGCTGAAAAGGGAGCGCGCATGTGCTATGCACGTACACTCTTCAGGGCCACAACCTAGAAGAAGAGTTGCCCAGGGAGCTACCCAAGGGGCATGTGCACGCCACAAAATTAACTTCCGATTTCCCGCGTGCCAGCCAGCTAGTCTTCCGGTTACTGGCGCGCATGCGCACGTGGCGATCAGCTGGCTGACGTGCATGTTCACCCCGGAAAATGGAAGACAAGCTCTTCCAGTTTCCAGCTGCTGCATCACAAAGGCCAGCTGATCGCGGCATGCATGCGCACCAGAAACCTAGAAGAGGAACGGGCACCGTCCCGTGTGCCAAACGGCATGGCTCCGTATGCCACTTTGGTCACGCGTGCCATAGGTTTGCCATCATGGCTGTAGAGGGTTAATACAACTAATTTTCTTTTTACTGCCAGGACCCTTGGGGAGGAGAACATCAATGCAGACCATCCTTCCTTGCACTCCCAGTGCATAAATTGTTCATGAATTGTGTATGAATTGTTCATACACAACTCGAAAATTTGTAAGTAGAGTAACATCTGCTGGCTTCTAATCTTTGGCTAGCTACTTGGAAATTTCTTTTCGCATTTTTAACCACAATACGCTATTACTCCTATACATTTTACTATTTCTATATGATTATTTCCTTAAACAAAACTGAAAAATTGTCTAGCTGAATCTCAAAGTCTGATGGAGGGATGGGAGTTGTAAAATTTACAGATGGTGGGTGGCTGTATTCGCCCACCTTGAATCATATCGAAGACAATTGTGCAACAAAATATTAAGGCTATCTTTATGCTATCTGAAGTGAGAAGAAATCAAGAATGTTGACAGGCTTTATAAATAGATTATTTCATAGATCTACAAGGTGGGAGGCTGAAGCAGAAAACTTCAAGCTGTAAGAGGATATCTAGTGATCTCCCTGGAATGCAGGGGATTAAATTATTTAGTGCTTTTTTATATATATTAGGTTTTAGAGTGTTAATGGAAGCAGGAAACTTCTAAGAAGTAAATCCTCCAAATCCCTCCTCCCTACAAATAGTGATTTGAGATCATCAAAAGCGTCATGCCCATCCTTAAGGAAAATCATGTAAAATCTTACCACACAAATTTGATCATATGATCACCAAATTTTAGCAAAACAATGACGGAGTGCTGGATAGCACAAATGGAGAGCTGGGCAATTACCTGAGACCCATGGATCATTCATTGCTGGTATGCCTTATGATATAATATAACATAGTCTTAAAAAAGACAAGGCACAGAGCAAACAATGATCTCTTCATTGACTTGAAAAACAATGAATAGAAGACTAACCCTACTTGAAGAATTCTGAGGCCTGGGCTAGGAAGACTTTAAAGCTAATTAAATTTTAATAGGAAACCAACAGATGGCAGTGATGTAGGGGAGTCTAGGTTACAGCTTATGTAGGTATTTATTTAGCATATTTGTACTGTATAACGACCTGTCTCCCAAATGCTCGAGTGTGTGCAACACAACAGCAAAACAAATCTAAACACATTTTATTTAAAAAATAAAATAAACATATACAATTAAGAAACCAAGAAAGAAAACCCAATAAAGCTAAATAAATATTAGACAAAAGTCCCTAATTCTTTAATTATTAATTTCTTAAATTCTAGGTACAGGTACATATGCCGTTCATAGTTCATTCATGAGAGAAAAATGTGAACATATCATGAGGGCTTCGTGAAGCTTAGTCTAAGGCTTGGTTACAGCCCTTGAAATACACGTGGAGGCATGAAATGAATTCTTGAGCATATGAAGGCTTTGCAATGTGACACTATTAAATGAATGAAGAAAGACAACTTGGCTATGCATCAGGTATTAGAAGACAGGACAGAGGCAATTGTGATTTATGTTCAAAACAACAAAAGAATGTTAGCTCTCCAAAGCTATGTGATAAATGCTGCAATGTATGTGCTTGTGTATGTTTCCTTCTGCAATATTATGAAATAAGAGATATTTAAGCAATCGAAGAACTAAACTACTACTTACATCTATTCTTTGAATCTTCTCTGCTTGTGTTAGCGTTTTGTTGAAAGCATGGACTATTATTTTGTAGGTGAAGTTGGACTGTAAATATGGAGCCTAAAACAAAGCAAGAAAGTTTTCATTATGGTATAGGGCATATGATGCATACAACAAATAAAATGAAAAAGTTTAGATTTTTTTTTATACTAACCATTTTCTCTACTGGATAATTCTTCAGTGAAGAATGCAATTCTTCTACAGATTTCCCATGACCCCACAGCTCAAATATTGATCTAAAAGCAAATAAATACAGGTATTCAAGAACATTTTTATCCTACTTTGGTTAAAAACCTCCACTGTCTCTACAAAAGTGGTTATTTCAAATTTATACATTTACTTTAAAAGATATAGATAATATTTGATCGTAGCCAAAGGCATGTACTATGTTTATAAAACTATGTGTCAGGCACAAAAGACCAAGACCATGTGTGATGTTCCAATTAAACCTATTTATTACTCATCATGCCTATGCACAGGAATCTACTCAACTAACATTAGCACTGTTTTGGTGCTGGTTAAGGATCAATGGGATTCAGGAGAGGCTGGACTTAGTCCATTTGTGACTACTAAGATACTCTAGGCTGATTTCTCTTTTGACTCTGCTGTCAGGTCTGACACTCCTCCTACACTATGTAATAATATAAGAGCAGTGAATTATTATTACAAGAAAATATATATGCAGATCCATACAGAAATATACATTACATTCACATACAGGCATTCACTGCTTAAAACTATGATAAGATGGGCAAAATAAAATTAAAGTTGAGAACAACTGACAATCTAAAAGATGACCAAAATGATGGGCTAGGTGTTACCTCAAACTAGACTCAAAATGTTATTGTGTTATATACATCAGCATTGTCTTTCTTGAGCAGCAGTCATAAAATTGCCCTGAGGTATTAGAAAAATGCAATACAAAAGATATAAATGCACTTCATGTGTCAAAAAATCTATAGTACAAAAAAACCATAACAAATGACCATTATTTTCTATCATTCTTGATTCAAAAGGCCAAATACATATTTCCAGGGATATTTAAAAATCAATCTGATTATACTGCCAATATGATCACAATGAATCTTATTTTTAAAATATCATCCTATGTTAGGGAAGTCAGGAAGAGAAAGGAGCTAGTAGGCCCTCCTTGGATTCATTTTCTTGGCTTGTAATCTCAATTCTTGTTGATAAGGATTTGCTGCATTGATGTGGAACCAATCTGATTTGCTTGTAACCAAGGGACAGTAGAATATAGTGGAAAAACAGAGCACAAAGCTTTAGAGCAACAGCTGGCATCCACCTTGCAAGAGTACTCAAGGCTGTCCCAAGTCCAATTTGAATAGGAGAAAAACACTACATCACTGGCATGCAAAAGGATTGTGGTCACTTGCTCCATTAAATGAGGTAGACATTGTGGCATTGAAACTATGGAGTTAATAGAGATGTTGAAAAATAAGTGTGCCAAGATGCAATCCCCTTTGACAGCTCTCTGTACAGGTTAAAGAGTATCCCAAGCAGGCTACATCTGATTTTCAAACTGGTGTTATAACTCCCTAATGAGCAGCAGCGAATTTCTGTCAAATTTAGTATACATCCGGAGACTAAATCTCTCTAAAGTCTACAAAATAAGAATTACATATTTACTTCCAGTGGCTTTGCAGCAGAGATGGATAAAATTTCCAATATTGCTTTTGTACAACTTCAACTCTTTTAATGATATTTGTACAAAGGAACACAACTAAAGCATGCAAAACAAAAATTCCTTGCACACCATCAGAAAACAAACTGAAATCATTTAGTCTCATGCATAGAAACCGTAACAGATAAATATTCTGCCTCTTTTTTGACACAGTTGTAAACGCATCCTAGAAAGGCCAACTAAGGCAGGACACGTCAACACTGCAATTCATAAGCTAGTCAAAGTTCTACTGGCACTGGCAGTGAGAGACGGAAGGAGATTTCTACCTCTGCTGGAATAAAGGAGGAGAAAGCTTAAAGGGAACCTTAATGCAAAAGGGAAGCAGGGACATTTTCCTTCTCTTATTCTTATTTTTTTAACAACATCAGTCCTTACTTTGCACATACTGTTCGTTTCATTAGTCTTCTAGCTACCTCTTCAGAAGGCAAGTCAAGAATCCAAAATGGGCTCTGAAGTCAGGGGGGAAAAGCAGCAGTTATTACAAGGAACAGCACTGCAAACCAATAACATTGTTATTTAGACAGCTACAACCTTCTTTTCTTTCCCTTCCTTCCTTCCTTCCTTCCTTCCTTCCTTCCTTCCTTCCTTCCTTCCTTCCTTTCTTTTTCATATGTATTTATGGAGCATTTATAAAATGTTTCCATCAAAACTACAATAAGTGGTATTGCAAAGGAGCAGCCACAGCCAGGGCAATAATAATGGAAATACAACATATAATTATAGTAGGCAAGCGTTATAATTAATATAGCAACCCTGACAGCAGGCCCTCTAGAGTATTCAGGCCCCAGAGGCTTTCAGAAACAACCAAGTTTTAATGAGCTTCTAGAGGGTCGCGAGAGTAGAAGCAACCTATGGCGGAGGGGGTAGGGTGGGGATAGATGGGGATAAACTATATGGGATTCAGCAGGAATTGTTTGTGTCCTTGGATGAGACAGGCCGAATTTATATGAGACAGGTAATTTAAAGATTTTATTAAAGCTAGATAATCTATTCTGAAATATTTCCCTCATTTTCACATCAAAGTAGGTTATGGTTAACCTTTATCTTTCCTCTTTTGAGTGCAGGAGCCATTATTCAGTCTTTTAATGCTAATTTTCAGTATGCACCAACAAAGATACTCAGCTGTTATTAACATCGCCACTTTTATTTTTAAAGCCTGTATTCCCGCTCAGTTAAACCAGTGGTCAGAAAACATCAACAAAAAATTATTCCTGCGTTTGAAAAATTAAACTTCTTTCTACTCCCATTATGAATGTGTAATGGTAAACCCTATGGGGCACTTCCAATTTTACACAATTACATGTCATTTGTTGTGTGGCATTGGTTGTTTTTGGAATCAAAAAGCATATTGATCTTCATGAATGTATAACCAAAAAGTGTAACTACCATATTTTTCAGTGTATAAAACGCACTGGAGTATAAGACGCACCAAGGTTTTAAAGAGGCAAATAAATTTAAAAAAAGGTTTTGCACTCTGCAAACCTCCCCAAAACGAGCCGTTCTTCGCAAAAACGGGCCTGTTTTTTTTCCCCAAAAAAAATGCATGGGTAGCCCTTAGGAAGCTTTAGAGCAGTGGTTCTCAACCTGTAGGTCGGGACCCCTTTGGGGGTCAAACAAGCTTTTCACAGGAATTGCCTAAGATCATTGGAATACACATATTTTCAAAAAAATACGGAAAACATAAAATAATTTTATGGTTGTGGGTCACATGAGGAACTGTATTAAAGGGTCGCAGCAGTAGGAAGGTTGAGACCCACTGCTTTAGAGAGCTCTTGGGGGAGTGAAGGGGCAGAAATGAGCAAAATCAGGGCGGTTTTCACAAAAACAGGTGCGTTTTTGTCAAAAAAGGGCATGGATAGCCTTTAGGAAGCTTATAGAGTGCTCCTGGGGGTGGGAAGGGCAAAAGTGAGCAAAAAACGGCCCATTTTTTTGCTCATTTCTGCCCTCCCCAGCCCCCAGGAGCTCTGAAAGCCTCCTACAAGCTATGCATGGCCATTTTGAGGAAGGGGGCGGGCTTTCGGGAGGCAAAAAATGCTGTATTCAGTGTATACGACGCACCCAGATTTTCAGCCTCTTTTTTGAAGGAAAAATGTCTGCCTTATACTCCGAAAAATACGGTATGTGCAAGCCTAAGTATCTTATCCCTCTCCCTTCCTAATGATTACACTTAGGACACCTACCTAACTCCTTCTCCTATGTTTTTATTCATTTTTTCCACGTTGTCCCCCCACTGATCTGGAAGGAGCAGAAGCAATTGAACGTGAGAAGAGAAAAATATAAAACAGATAATGCTACACGTTCAACTGTACCTTCCATTTCTGAAGAAGGGGACGGATTGCACTGTTTATGACCTCTGCCACTGGAGAGTTTCAATCTTGCTGTTCATAATACCTATTTGGTGCTCTTTCTTTAATTAGTAACTCTGTCACATCAGGCCTGAACTGATGCTACTAAGAACAGCAAAGCTCTGGAGTGGATCTTCAGCTCTCCTTAGGGAGAAACCAATTAATTACCAAACAAGAGCACATCATGTACGATGCTTTGTTGGAAAATGCTATTTAAATCTCCAGCAAGATATATTAGCAGCAGTTGCCAAGATACAAATTAGAGGAAACGGGGAGGAGGGGGAGAGTTGGAGACATGTTGAAAAATGTGATGAAATGAAGATGAAATATAGCAAAATATATTTCCAGTGTATATCAGAAACAAAATGCTTCTTTTTCTTCCTTGCTTTGCTTGCTTGTTTTAACCAGTAGGGGTCTGGAAATTGATTCATGAAATGTGACCCAAAATTTGGACCAGATTTGAAACTGTTGGCTCCTGAAATTCCACCACCACCACCACCCCAAAAAAAAAACCTGGGAAGAAAAAGACATACAGAGGGACAAGATATTTTGCAGGAGTTGAAGTACAGGTAGTTTTCAATTTACAAACATTTTTTAGCGATAGTTCGAAGCTACAGCACTGAAAAAAAGTGACTTATGACAGTTTTTCACACGTACAACCACTGCAGCATTCCCATGGTCACATGATCAAAATTTGGGCACTTGGCAATTGGTATATATTTATAATAGCTGCACTGTCCTAGGGTCATGAGCAAAGTCAATGGGGAAGCCAGATCACTTAACAATCAGATGATTTACTTAATAATTTTACTTTATTTTACTTTTACTTAATAGTACTGATTCTTTAATAACTGTAGCAAAAAAGTCTTAAAATGAAGCACAACTTACTTAACAACTGCCTCACTTAGCAATGGAAATTTTGGGCTCAACTGTGGTCGTAAGTCAAGGACTACTTTCCCCCAAAATAAGACAGGGTCTTATTTTCTTTTGACCCCCAAAATAAGCACTTGGCCTTATTTCCAGGAAGGTCTTATTATTTTTGAGGTGCAGGAAGCGGCGAGCATGGTCACCTCATGGCTGCTGCTGCGTTGCAATATTTTGGGGGAAAGCTTATTTTTGGGGGAGGGCTTACAGGTGAAACCCAAAAAATTAGAATATCATGCAAAAGTTCATTTATTTCAGTAATGCAACTTAAAAGGTGAAACTAAT